GGCTTTGAGGGCATGAGAGAACGAGCGCTCGGATGTAGTGCTCACTGGCTTGCTCTGTAGGTTCCGTGTTGATTGGACCGGTCAGAGCAGGAGGCGACTGCCGTAAAACGCGGCGATGGGAGTGGAAGACGTTGCGTCTGTGGCGTTGACGGTGCTCGTAGCTTACGGCCTTCATGCTTAGACTGCGTGTGCATGCCGAAGAGGGAGGTAGTGGGCGGGCGTGTTGCCTGTGCAGGAAGTTCGTCACACACGCACCAGTTGAGAGCTTAGCATTATAGCGTAGCGGAGATATCGTGGCAGAGCACCACGGGGAATTGAGACACGGCGGGTAGTTCAGATTTAGCGCGTTGCAACGAGACAGATAGGGCCCTCGTCTGTGTGCAGCTTCAAGAGCCCATGGTATGCATGGCTACGCTTCGCTAGCCAAGGTCTGAGCACTGCCGTCACCCGCCAGCCGGGTGTGTAGGATTCGATGGAACGGCAGGCAACTGGTGTACGAAGCTGCGGGCGGAGCCAGCAGGACTGCGTTTATGGAGAGGGAGGAGCTGGTAGCGTACACACTTCGCTTTTTCCCTGTGTGCGAAAGGAAGAGGAAGGTATTGAGCGCGGTTGTTGGCTGTGCAGGAAGTTCGTCAAGTTTGCGCCAAGTATACAGCTGAGCTGGAGGGACGAGTGCTCACCTGCGGTGTGGTGAGCATGTGCTGGTGGCGCGTAGCGTGCAGAGAAGAGAGTTTGGGGGTAGACTGATTGGCGGCGTTTGACGTCGATATGTGTGGGATGGGGTCAGGGGAGAGGCATCTGCAAGACAGGATACTGGTAGTTCTGCGGGCGGTGCCGGACTGCGGGACATCGGGAAGTGAAAGCGCACGCACGGGATATGTAGACGTACAGGACAAGGACACCAGGAGCGTGCAGGAGCTGCAGAGAGTGCGTTAGCGGGTGGTGGCGGGTGGGTTTGTGGCGCCTGCTGAGCTTGTGATTTACGGATTTCGGTTTGTACTGTGTGCATACGGAAGAGGGAGGTATGAAGCGAGGTTGTTGTCTGTGCAGGAAGTTCGTCAAGCGCGTGCCAGGTAGACAGCTGGGCTGGGGGGATGCCTGCTGACGCGCGAGATGCTGTGGTGGGTAGTGTGCAGCGAGAGGGGCTGGGGGTAGACTGGTTGGCAGCGTTTGACGTTGATTTGTCTGGGATGGGGTTAGGGGAGAGGCATATGCAAGACAGGAAGCTCGTCGGTGTGCGGGCGGTGCCGCGCTGGGCGATATTCGCCAGGGAGCGCGTATGCGTGTCATCTGCAGGCGAACAGGGCGAGGGCAGAGCAAGGGTGCAGGAGTTGCAGAGAGTGCGTTAGGGTGGTTTGACGGGTTGTTGCGGTTGGGATCGTGGCGCCTACG